CGGTTCGAGTGAGCGTGCAGCGCTGGTCGACTGGTTATCAGTGAGTCATCGCAATCGGTGGCTTTTCGTTCGGACTTAAAGGAATCTTCCACGGACCATGGACCAGTGGGCGGGACCGGAAGTTTTTGTGACGAAATGCATGGTAGGTACGGATCCACGTGTCGAACGCACGAACGTGAACAGGATTCACTTCAAACCTTCCCATGAACGTGGATCCGTACCTACCATGCATTTCGTCGCAAAACCACTTCCGGTCCCGCCCACTGGTCCATGGTCCGTGGAAGATTCCTTTAAGTTTCAATCTATCGAATGCTTAGTCTGAAAAATCCTTCCATCAGTCGTTTCTCAAATCACAATCAGTAGCCGATTCTAAGAAGGCCCCTAAACATTTGCTCAGGTTAGGACCAAACGTTCCCTGGATGATCGTTTCTTCAAACGGGCTTCGAATAATCCAGACTTTCAGAGAACTAATCCACCTTGAAATCCACCCATGTTCATGAGATCTGGACTGGAAGCAGATCAGAGTAGGTCACCATTCACTGGGCGTGGGAGGCCGTAAGAGGGTAGAGTCAAGCCGCCTTCACACAGGAATCAGCTCGATACTTCAATGCAGTGAGTACGAGGCAGTAGGATGGGTGTGCATTAAGGTATCACCATTGAGAGCGGGAACCGGGAGCTATATACCTATCCTTCCACAGGGGGACGCGTCCCCGCCGTCGATTCAACCCAGGACGGGGGAGACAGGGTTGTGTATACAACGTCATTAAACGGTTGAGGTTCTAGCTACCTTCCCCTGTTGAAGCATGGGTCGCGCTGCTCTACCTGTCTAGAATCAAGAAACGCAGAGGTATGGTGGGTCCATGACGCGGCCTTGTATTCTCCAACCCTAGGATAGAATCAAGGGCGGGGTACGCGCCTCCTGGGGAAGGAAAGGATACGTTCCATGCGACAAATGAAGCGAGGTGTGGTGCTTCCGCCGCGGAAGATGCGCTAATTGCAATGTAGTGAGGCCTTGCGACTAACCGATTTACAGCCATGTCTAAATTTTGTTCTCATTTCCCCTAAAGAACTGGCGAGAAACGACGCTAAGCCGCAGCGACCGCGTAGGTCCCCGTCATCACACGAATAAAAAACGAATCATTGCTGAGGACCCCATCCAAAACCAGTGGGGGCACAGATGAAGGGTTTCAATATACGAGTTTTGGTTTCAATCTGTGTTCTGTTTCACTGCCCCCACCCGAGTCGCCGATCCCACGGTCATCTCTTATTAAATATTGCGACTCATCATCCACGAAGTATCGGTACACTAGGTGCCGATTCACCAGAGGGCTACTCTTAAGTACTGGTTCAGATTGATTCGATCTCCGACCCCGATCTGTTCACGACTTCCTACGAATGTCAGGCCGCCGTCCCTCGTCAACATTAGCCGATACGCACACATAAGCACATGAGTGCTTCCAGTCCCAAGACACTTTGTAGTGTAAGGAAGCATTCTCTCATGGCACTATCGCTGCGAACTGTCTGCTAGTACTTTCAGCTTGGTGAGCTTACTTGTTCTTGCTCCTTGTTGATCCCAGAAATTTCACTAATTCCATCGTTCGTGATCACAAAAAAAACAGATGTGGTTTTCACGCTTGCAGCATGCGTAACCGAGTTTTTTTGCGTACCTCTTTGGTGATGGGGAATCGCACGGGAGACGGACGGAAGTTTCGTGGCACTGTGCCGCCGTTCGTCGCATCACTGCCGCCGGTGCTTTGCATGAATTTTGCGATTCGAGCAGCCGCTGTTCCTGTCGGAATTTCCTGAAAGTTTTCGTGTTTGTATGAAAAGTTCCTGGATGAGTTCACCCACAATTAAGAAGTAGGATTCGCTTACAACCCTGGCCATGAATGCGGGGAGGTGAGATGAGATATAAGGAATGACTCAGAAGCCCAAATTCCTGAGGAAAGGGGAGGCTGACTGGATTCTCAAGAAATGAAATTCATTAACTTTTGCGAAAACGTGTAAGGAAACCCCGCTCAAGGCAATAACTCGAGTTTTAATGGGTTTGGAATAACAGTGGCAGGCCACATCCACAGAACAGAGATTGTACCAAAAGGAACCATGGAATCAAGAAATTTGACGTGTTTTTCTGAGATTTGACAACAGAACATCTCTTTTGAAGCGAATTAATCAACAGAAATCGAGAACAGAGACAGGATGATTTGAAAACAACCTTCCCAGCACCGGAAATGGTGATTTGTGCGCTCACAGACAGTGATTTTCCAACGCCAGAACATTCAAGAAGTCTTATTCAGCAAAGAGAGGCATGTAGTGTGACATATGCTGCCGCCTACAGATCCAGTTATTGGAGGGGGAAATCCCCGGAGTGCGTTAACCACTTCCGCTTCTTCGCCCACCCTGGGGATTTCCTCTCCTGCAAAAATTGCGAAAACCCAACGGTTATGCGCCAGTGGTCAAGCCAAAGCGTGAGAGTCCAGACAGAAAAGCACACACTTTGTATTTCTAGGACTAAGCCTTTTGAAGGAAGGAAAAAAGCAGAGACGCTGTAATAGTGTGCATATGCGAGAGTGCCCAGAGAACACTACAAAACGCTGAATCACCAAGGCTTCCGGTTGACCGCTGCCCTTGGACGGTACCCGACAAGATGGGTGTCGCGCGACGAGAAGGTTAAAGAAGACGGGTCAGTGGACGAGTCGCAACGCTTTGTGCTGTGGGACGTACTGTAGTACATTCTATTTGACTTGACGCGAAATCACTGTAGTACGCGCTGCGACTCGTCCGCTGACCCGTCTGCGTCTCTGCCTTCTCGCCGCGCAACGGGCCTCCTGTCTGGTACATTGAAATGGAATTACTTAAAACGCTATGAACTGTTGCAGCACATGCCCTCCTTTATTGGATGAGACCCCATTTAAGCTGTAGGACAAACTATACAACATTGCTATCGGGTGGCTTTGGTGTTGACCGCCGTCGCCCAGTTTTGTTCTAGGGCCTTTAAACAAAGGGTAGGCCACACTGTGATATTCCAAGGAATTCAAATCCACCAAAAATTCGAACAATTAATTTGTAGTGTGGCAACTCTCCCGTATTATATTCTGCCGGCTGATTTCGAAATTGAATTCTGGGCTTGCTTATCCTTCCAGGTATTTATAAAAAAGACAGCCTCTCATTCTGCAGAAAGTGTTTTTAGTTTCTGAGAGAAGGTGACATATGATAAACAAAAGTCAGCACAGATGCGAGTACCTGTTCCAACTCCTCCTTGGTGACTTTCAGACTTTTCTCACTAAACGCGACATCTGGCTTCTTTTCTTCCTTGGCAGGCGATTTTCGTGAAAAACGAGGAGAATCAGGCTCAGGTGTACCGTATTCGGAGCCTCGGCCAGTAGGGGTCAAGAACCTGAAAACCGAACCGTCTGTGAATGGAGTGCCGTGCGATGTATGGTTAAAGTGTTCTTATAAGATAATCCACCTTTCATCATCGGATGCATCCGTCTGAAGATAGGAAGCATTTCGAGGGGATACCGGACGTTGGAAATCCCTTCTGGGAGGATCCTTTTTGGGCGGGATGAATGCAGTTGACGGTGCCGGTTCGACCAGCTGAACGCTTTTCTGCTTCAGAGACTCGTCCACTATCAGACCACTTTTGTCGATGGTGACCGTCTTTCGTAAGCGCACTCCTCCCTGAAACACGCAACCCCTACCGGTCGCATTCTCATTGTAGCGGAAAGACTCACTTGAATGGAGTGCAGCAATTCGCCGAGATCCACTTCGGCCGGCGATTTCCCTCCCAACTGTGGGAATGGCGACGGTGATTTACGGGTTTTTTGAACTGCTGGAATATTGGATGGTGGCGGCGGTGGTGGAGCCGGTGCTCCTGGAGGAGGTGGCGGTGGTGGTGGCATGAAACCAGAACCTGGTGGTGGCGGTGGTGGTGGTGGTGGTGCCCCACCAGGAAACGGTGCCGAAGGGGAAGACGATGCTGTACTCGGTCCAGGTCTGGGCGAAGATCTCGGCGACGGTGAAGCTCGAGGAGTTCTTGGTCCGGCTGTCGTTGCAGGTGGCGCCTGAAGGACATTTTGTAAGAAATTCTCTCAACATCAAAAGCACCTGCGCTACCCGAAAAAAAGAATATGCCGGGCCACTCCTCTACGCGCTATACGCGTTAGGCAGGCGGGCAGGAACTTCAGAGGGACATTTGAAACCGCCATGAATTACAGCAGTCTCCCCCCCCCCTGCCCGGGCTTAGTCCCCGTTTGCACCAACAAGGCCATGGTTTGGGCAGTCCTCTTTTAGGCCTTGCACTCATGATGCCCGTATCGTGGGATAGCGTCCAAAATATTTGTCTCAAGCGAATGCTTCTGCTCCAGGTACTTCCAGAGCTTATATCCTTATGGAGAATTGGTTCGTCCCATGGGAACTGGCCTTTTAGACCCTAAAAAACGCTCGACATCTCAAATATCGCAGCTAAATGCGGATTCTCCAACGAAGGGGATGATTACGATCCCGAAAAAGTCATAAACGCACTTAGCTGGCCTATTTCAAAAAGCAATTATGAGGCGAGATCATCGTAAGACTGGCATTGAAGGACAGACACATCGGTTGTCATTGGATCGTCTTGAATGCCCCGAAAACCCGTAAAAGAACGAGTCCCCTATTACCAGTTCAATGCGCGCAAGACTAGCAACTAGCCCTATTTTTTGCCTTCTTTCAAGAATGATGAAAAAATTAGCGATCCAATTTGGCAAACGAGAAACCTCAAGGGCTCAATAACCGTATCGACTACAACTGTGAGCAGGAGGTGCTGGAGATCGCTTTGTGGGTGCGATAGAATCCTCATCGTCGATTTCAGCCACAATAATCGGCTTTGACTTGTCGACAGTCTTCGTCGGTCTCAGCTTGAATCCCCTGCTTGATCTCCTGTAAACGATGTGATCTGCGTTTAAAGTGAATTAGCGGACAAACTGGAAAAGGATTAGAAGGCTCACGTCGAGTATCGGGTTACCCGCGAACATCGTGAGCCGCCTAGTGACCCTATACGGATGTGTCCAGGATCCAACTTCTACTGGAACCAGTCAAATTAGTGAACGCACCAATAACACAACGAAAAGCGAGACGTCACTGCGATCAGACGACATGGAGAAAGAAAAAGGCTTACAAAAAAGGCTCTATTGAATAGTCCAGAAAGGGTCTAAAAGTTCAGCAGGGGGTAATCCAGGCTTACTGCCAATGCTGACACCCGAGCTAAAGACTTGCGGCTCTGCTAATGCTGACACCCGAGCTAAAGACTTGCGTACCATCCTTGACCCCGCAAGCAAACAGCGGGATTGAACGGAATCCGCTTCAACAGCGTTCTCTACAAATCATCCAGATGCATATGAAAAATGATAGACATTGAACGGGGGAAGCTGAATGATGCCTTCGATCCATGGTGAGTAGCTGGGCATGGCTGCCGGCAGGAGCGCCAACAGCTGTGCCACAGCTCTTCAAGATTAAACGCAACACGAGGGAGTATGCGGAGATATCGCGGACGCAGGAAAACAACATGTTATCAACAGACATTTTTTTACACACGGTATATGACCAAAATTGTGATCATCAAAAATCAGAAAACATTTCCGGCATGGGGCCATACCATGGGACAGCGCTATATAGTGGGAAATTCGTGGCTCCTCTTTTCTTCTTCAATATCACTAATGCAATATAATGCTCAGGAGAGCTTCATCTCTATTTTGAAGCTAGAACATTCCTTCGTCAGGTAAATTCCTGAGATATCTTGCTCTTGCCGTGCCCCAACGGGAAATGTTCAGTTCTCCTCGTGGGGTCAGGTCACCAGAACTGCGCGATCATTGAAGCCTAAGGTTAAGCTTGGGTTTAGACTTAGGTTAAGGCTTATGCTTACAGGCTTATGCTTAAGCCTATGATTGGGCCTAGGCTTAGTCCTAAGCTTGCTTCGAGCAAATGAATGGTGTCTCAATTTTAGGTAACCTGACCAGAGGGGGAGATCTGCAACGTCCCTCCTCCCCTTCCCGTCAGTCGTTAGCTTGTTCAACGCCTTAGTATATCCTGCTTTTCCCCAATATCATGGAACAGCTGGAAATAAACTCAAGCTGAAAACTGCAACCTTTTTACTCGAACCTGGTCGGGCACAAAAGATAAATGAGTGAACTTTGAGAGCAGCGAACGCCCAAAGAACAAAATCCAGAAATGAAAAAGAAACAATTGTCTTAGGCATTGATCACTCCTGTCCGGTCCTGCTTGGATCCACAAGAAAAAAGAGGGGTGGGCTCAAACGAAATCCGACATCGCATATGTCTAACGCACCCACTACATAGTGCTTACGCTGGTTTCCCCAATAGAGTTATGATTAGAAAAAGGGAAGCCCTAGTCAATATTTTGAATACATCTTTATTCAAAGGACCGCGAAGCATTACTACTGGTTCTGAAATGCTCCTTAAAAAAAAGCTCAAAGATAGTCAGGGAATGAAGCGATCAGTGTCATCCTTCCTCTCGGATACGCCACGCATTTGACATGCACTTCTAACCACAGGGC